TCTATTGGAAAAAATGAATAAAACGGATAAGAAAAGATAGATTTTATATATTTTCTCTCTTATACAAACATCACAGAGGAAGGCTTCACATTATTCTACAAATGATCTGAATGATCCGATTGATTTGTTCATAGTTTTGATGGCTTCCCTAAGCAATGAACAGTAAGAAATATATGAAGTCGTTCTTCTTTTCTCGTTCAATGTGTAGTGCAACTCTTCTGTAGTACACCTTGCTCATAAGAGCGTATGTGTGAGGTTTCGGCAAGTGGGTACTGAGACTTAGAAAACAACATTCCACCAACCAGTGGACATACAGGCGGACATTTAGCCAAAAATTGAAAGTCTGTTTTTCTTCGATTTAAATGTCATCATATATACTTTGACAAACAGACTATGTAATGTTGTAAAAGTTTTTGTTTTACAGCTCACTTTGAAAGAAAAATGCAATACCGACAAATGAAGTATGTTTCAGCGTCTTCGAAAGCAAAAGTATTTTTTTTGATCTAGCTTGAAGCTAGATTTTAGGAACATTTAGCTAACTCCATTCCAGCTCATACCCGGTTGGAGCTAGCTAAATGTTGCAAAAATCTAGCTTCAAGCTAGATCCAAGAAAAATACTTTTGCTTCGGTTCTTAGAAAACTCATTTTTGTCGTCGGAATGAATCGCTTCAAATTCGTTGTTTCAACAGATTCTTGAGCAAAAAACAGTCGACTATCAGCTAATAAAAAAATGTTTCGTTTTGGCTCAACGAAACATGATAAAAACAGCAGTTTTGAGCAAAACTTCTGCTTTCGCACGTAAATTTCGCAACCAATCAAGTGCATCGATTTGCATCGATTGTTATTCGACATTAAATTACACCAAAATGTTCGTTTACATCCACCATGTATGCGGTTTTCCTTCTGGGCTTAGATACCGGTTTTTTAGGTAAAATTCACTTCCTTAGAAGGGAGTTTGTATCGAAAAAACATTTTTTTTCGAATTCGACCTTTTTTACTCCTATTAATATCTGACACATATTAAGATCATCATTTGTTAACTCAAAACGTCATATATCCGCCTGCTCTATGGAAAAATACCCACTGTGTACTTATCGCACTTTAGTCATGATACCAAGCGTATAAGTGTATTTTTAGAGTTGCTGGAAGAAAGGACACTGAAATTATATTCTGTCAACGCTTTTCTTTTCTTTTTTAAGACTTCATGAATAAGAAAACTCAATTCAAAGGCGCCGCTAATTCAAAAATCAAGTAGAAAAGCTTTTAAAATTTCAGACACATATTCTGATTCGCCGGACGCTCCTGATCACGAATCTGATCTTATTATTTTCCATTTGATCGATTTTTCATGCAGAAAAGCTCAAAATACGGTGAGGGTGTCAAAAATCTCGAAAAACCGATTTTTCAGAAAAATCACGATTATCCCCTGATCTTTTCATTTTTCGATCTCATCGGTGCTATTTTCGGATTCAGCATCGCGAAGCACATTTAGGCACTTGGCATTCGATGACTTTTCTTCGATTCGTAAACTCTTGTGGATGATCAACCACTGATCACTCGAACCTTGAGGTTCTCACCGCACAATGCTATCTAGTTTTTTGCAATGAGAGGTAGAGACTTCTTTCACGCTCTAGAAGATTCGCCTTGCCTTGCTCCACAAAAGTATGCTGCGTCTTTTACAAAACGTTTTTCCTTTTAGGAGAAACTAGGAAAAGACTGAAAAAGTACGAGTTTTTCGAAAATCCTTCAGATGATGAGCCCGTAGCTCAGTGATATTTCCACCGAGAGAACTGCTATTATGGTTTTCCAGGTAAAAAGCAATACTGAATACGTTAGAAATGCGTTTGAGAGGTTTGGAGTTTTCCAAGTAAGTTTCGCAAGAGAACAGAACTCTGAGAGACCTTCAAGAGCCTTTTGGAAATCTTTTCTCGTCCCAAAGGCATCCTATCGACAGAGCGTCAAATTCTGAGCAAAATGAGACTCCCTCGAGCCTTCTAACATATCTCTAGGCTGAGATAAGACCATTCTACTTTCAGAGATCCGGCTGTCCCGAAATCATTTGCGAGATTTAGCAATAATTCAGCCTAGAAAGACGCTGGAAAGCCCGGGAAGATCTTATTTTACTCAGAACTCGCTGCGCATTCAGATGCAATGCCTCATGAAGGGTTACAGAGTAATGACGACATTTACTAAAATCCGACTCCCTGGAAATCTCTCAGAACCCTTCGGAAACTCATTAACCTGGCGAGGCATCGCATCTGAATGCGCATTAGTTTTCCTAAGATGTATTGGGATAAAGCATTTGGGATTTTGAGGGTTTCTGCATGAAAAATCGATCAAATGGAAAAAATAAGATCAGATTCGTGATCAGCAGTGTCCGACGAATCAGAATATGTGTTTGAAATTTCAAAAGTTTTTCCACTTGATTTTTGAATAGCGGCACCTTACTGCGTTTCGTTACTTAGAAGGAAAAAAACTTATATTTCTTTTTTAATTAATTGGCTTGCGATATGGAAGATTTTTTCATTTACGTTTCGTTAATTAATTTGATGATCAAAACTAACATTTTGCTGATTAAAAAAATACATATTCACATAATAATGACAACATTTGTTTGCGGATGCATAATCATATGTGCTTTGTATAAAACAAAACAGAATGACGTTTAATCATTTTCCCTCAGGAATCTCTAATTCTTTGTTTCTTATGGAACATAGCATGAATTATGTAGAAGTTCACATTATCAGTTTATTTGCTTAAAGAAGAAAGAAATGTCATTTGTGAAACCCTGAAGCTGATACATTAAACATAACAAAGTTACACTCGAAAAGAATCAAGTGTCTCTTTCTTTCGGTAACAATGTCTCTTTCGTAAGCAAAATTTTCTTTTTGCTTGTTTACTGTTTCCTGACTATGTAACATCTTAAGTCAAAATACATTCAATTAAATTCAGTAAATCTTTTCTACATCTGTAAATGAACAGTTAAAGACTCCTAAATTCCTCTCCATAATGCTAATTAATTTAATGACTCAACGGAGTGGCAAGGATTTCTGTTTGTAACAGAAGTGTTTACACTCGGTCGGCGTCAAGAACATGGGGCTGGGAAGAAAACTCTAACAGTCGAGAAGAAGAACAAAATCATATATCCATTCTTTTCCTCTAAGTTTGATGAAACATTAAATTTAATATCTTTCCTCTTATCAGATGCACATAACACAAAATTCAATTAGACAAGAACAGAAACATCCGACGCTCTTGCCATAACTCTATCTTCGATGATGCTACATTTTTGATACTCGACACATGTCTCAGCCAACTAAAAGATTACTCTTATACCCATTGCTCGCACAAAACAGTAAATTCAATTCGCCTGTTGTCGTTCGACCACCGTCCGCACATCCTTTACATCGTAGATTACTTCGAAGACGACGCATAATTATACAACAACAGCAAAAAAAGAATACAAAGGGCCATTGGCATTACTGTGGTAAAATCATAAAAGTTTTGTCAGCAATTCTGGTGCCAATGATGATTGCGGCATTTACAATTGTTACAACTATTCAACAACGGCGCATAAGTGAAAGAAATCGTGAAAAAGATATTCAGATTGCTGATTATCAACGTGAACAAGCGACACAATTGAATGAACAGAATCGCTTGAAAGACATGGAAATAGCTAATATTAAAGGAACTCTCGACCGACAAATAGCTGAAGAAAACAGAGAAAAAGATTTACAAATAGCCAACATTACAGGTCAGTAAAAGAAGAAAATTACGTTCATTTGTTAGCTGTATGTATTTCTATGAACTAGTTCTCATTCTTAGTATGCTGGAAAACAATTTCAGAATCAGTCACTTTTCATTCGTCATATATTACCTTATTTCTTACAGTATTCTTTACTTGATATTTGCTTTCTGGCTCTTGTGGCATCTTCTTATTGTTTTCCCATGTTTTTTATATTTCGCCAAAAGCTTCCACCGGATGGTAGTGTCTGCATTCCTTTTCGACCATACATCGGCGAGAGAATAGAACTGAGCGTTCTGTAAACGTTACAACATTATCACTCCACCTTCACTTTTCGGCATTTTCACACGGTTCTCCATCATGGTTTCGGTTTAGGCACGCTATGCTTTAGTGAAGCCTTTTTTTCTTCAAAAAGCAACTTGAAAATCGCATAGAAAATAAAAATTTTCTAGAGCTCTTAGGGCCTATCGTAGATCAGTACACCTTGCAGATGCTTACTATACTATTATCTATGTGCACCTATGGGTTCTGTAAACGTTATAACATTATCATTACCCACGAAATGTCATTAAACTGTGTCGTGTATTTTCATTTGGAGACCAAAAATCTGTAAAAGAAAACAATGAAAGTATAACAGGTCAATAGAGAGAGAAAACAACTGAACGACAAGAAAAGAGTTCCATTCGTAGTTATTTGATATATAACAAAGCTAAACTCTACCCAAACAGATCTAGGTAAGATCCGATCCTGTCTCGTTTCGTAGGAAGAAAATGCGCAGACGAACAGTGCAATATTTGTTTAACTATATATCTTTTGATGAGCAAGTGTTAGAAACAGATATTGAGGCAAATGTCGACTTTTAAAGACACACTAAATTGTATTGTTGTTGTTAGCATTTCTTTAGTTAGTTGCTTTGTTAGTCCCTTTCACACATTGTCTGTTCAGTATATAGGATCGTTGAGTCAAAGACTACTGTATCATGCACTATAGAACAACTCGGTAAAATGATGTAAGAGCGTCGTTACGGCATCAAGAAAAAAGTGTACATGGATACGGTTTTACTGATTTATCCCAAAGTATATTCTTTGTTTTTTTAACAGGTGCTTTGGAAAGACAAATAGCTGAACAAAATCGTGCAAAAGATATTCAGATTGCGGATTATCAACGTGAACAAGCAACACAATTAAATGAGCAAAATCGTATGAAAGACATGGAAATAGCTAACATTAAAGGAACTCTCGAACGACAAATAGCTGAAGAAAACAGAGAAAAAGACTTACGAATAGCGAACATTACAGGTTAGCAAAAGAAGAAAATTACGTTCATTTGTTAGCTGTATGTATTTCTATGAACTAGTTCTCATTCCTAGTATGCTTGAAAACAGTATTCTTCAGGAAAGCTGTCAAAATTTGCATCGGAAACTATTTTCTTCGATGACTGAATTTTATATTATTTATGACAAAAGAGAATTTTTTTTTTATAAAAAAGCAGTTAGACATTTTTCAGAGACAGTCGGTATTCGGTAACATTAAGTCTAGCCGCCTCAGAAATTAATGGAAGAAGGGGTGAGGGTTAAAATTTCTAAAAGTTTTAAATTTTAGTTTCCTCGTCTACACATTTTCTTGAGAAACATTCAAAACTATGCTAATAGTTAGAATTCAATTCTCTACAAAATGGCTTATTTTTCTCGAAGTTGCGAGGTTCAGAACAGGTTTTAGAGTCGGAAAACCAGTTTTTGTAACTACTTTTTCGATGAGTTAAACAAGTTTGTTAACTTTATTTTAAATTGCATTAAAAAGGGCACATGGGTGGCAATATACTACCATTAAAAATCAGTCATAAAAAAAAAAAGTCATTTTTATCTGACTAAATAATCTATCGAGAAAAGCAGGTAGTTATTATGAAAGCTATTAGGAAGTCTATTGAATATTCTTTTGAAAAAAGTTTTTTATTGCATTACTTTACTGAGAAGTAATTAATACTAATTTGATAAATATTCCTATTACCAACAACAGTAATACTAAAAAGTATTAAAAAGTATTACTGTTACTGGTAATAGAATTACACGAAATATTACTGTTACCAACAACAGGAATGCCTTTCACTATTTCTTTCCTCGGTAATGTAATACAGTAATACGCTTCAGTATTACTGATGCTGGTAATAGGAATATTTATAAAATTAGTATTACTTCACAGTAAAGTAATAAAAGAAAAAATTTTTTTCAGAAGAATATTCAAGAGATTTCCTAACTTCTTCTTGAATGATAAATGAATTTTATTCTTGCAAAGAAATTTTTTTCAGCTATTTCTTCCGAACATTTTGGGGATGCTCCCATTCATACAACGCTATCTGATTACTGTCGCAACAGACTTGAAACGAGACGTCACTGAATATTGAGATACATGTACAAGTTGGGACAAGCGTCGAATATGTCATTCTAAGAACTCGTATGTGAACGTAGTATTCAACAGACAGTTGCCATCTTTATTTAGAAGTGGTTGCTCATGATTCACGAAAATCTAAACACACCTTTGACAAATTTACTTTTAGAGCTTTTCAATATTCCTGCGGCGTCATTAATCTAGAGACTTCTCAAAAAGTTTTGCTTCATGTAAACACGTCATATTGATCCATGAATACATCCGAAAGTCTTTTGAATATTCTTTTGATAAAAAATGTTTTTCATGTATTACTTGACTGAAAACTAATACTAATTTTATGAATATTCCTATTACTGGCAACAGTAATACTGGAAGTATATCAAATCGAGATTTGCCTGGAGTTTTTCAGACGAGTTGAAGTTACCGAGATAGGAGACATTATTTGTAAAATAACTATAAGTAACTACCTTTTCTGCCGGCTACTTATAATCATAGCTTTATCAATAAAATAACCATAAGTAGCTCGAGTACAGTATAGAGATATGTTACTAGGTGCGAGCTTAGTTTGCCTTGGTAGACATCGTGAAAAAATCGGAAGTTCGACATGGTTAAAAATGGAAAAAGTCTAAAATTTGCGGGTTTTATCCATCCATAGAAGACGTCTTTATAAAATTACAGCTTGCAGAGAAATTAAGTATAAAGTTACAGCTGCCTAAGTGATCAGTTTCACCAATCGTGCCTTCGTAGCAATAAATAACAGTCAATTTTTAGGAAATAGGTCTCCTATCTCGGTAACGGAAAATCATGTCCTTATGCTTCTTGCAAAAAACGATTTTTCTTCAACTAGTCTGCAAAAAAAACTCCAGACAAATCTGTTTCGACTCCATATAAGTATTACTATTACTAGCAATAGAAATACATAGAATATTTGTATTAATGGCAGCAGTAACAGTAATGTGTCACCCTTAGAGTATACACATTGAATGAGAAAAAATAATACGTTCCTGATTAATTTACAAAAGTATCAACAAATTTGTCACTTGTTAAATTTAACTAATTTTTTTGTTTGTTTGTCTTCTCCTTCGTTTTGCGAATATGTAATAATGTATACACTGTAAAGAAAAAGAGTATTCTCGAAAACTTAAAAATGGTTTTCGAAAATGTTACTACATGAAACCCTTTTAGGTTTTCGAACCATCGAAAACGCTTTTCCTGTTCGGATACCCTTTCTTTGTTCAGCTTAATTTTGTCCTTGAATACCCTTCAAAAAGGTTTTCGAAAGAGTATTCGAACTCTCGAATACTCAAAAAGGTTTCATATAGTAACACTTTCAAAAACCCTTAAAAACGGTTTTCGTGAGTTCTAAAACCCTTTCTTATGCTGTTTGTAAACTGCTTCTCGGAAACTCGTTCAAGATCGGTTTACGAAAAGAAATTGTAGGTAACCTTTTTTGCCCACGACGTAGGATTACTTTTAGGTGAATGGGCATTACTTTTTAAACTTTTTAAAGCTTGTATTTATAGGATCAAAAATTACTTGCTTCTTTACGAAAAAGCAAAAGGATCCTTCCAGAAATATGGTGATCACTTTATATAGGGGTGATATAGCCAGGATTTATAAGAGAATCGGTTGAGTCTTATTGAGCACTAGTAAAGAAGATGAACGGATCCAATACAGTTTAAGAGTCATACTATTATAGAAGAAGCAGCTTGAATTTACTCGATAGAGGATCATGTTTAAAAAATAGAACTATTATTATAAGACAATAATTGAAAAAAATAAAAATGATCATTTTCTTGAGCATTCGCTACTACAGTACTATAGTACAATCACACATACTATAGTGGCCATACTGCAGTTTATAGTACCGAGTTGTCTTAGCACCAGAGGTGCAGAACCTTACACAAAATCCAAAAATTTCCACAACCGAAAAATTTTTTCCCAAAAATTTCCACAAGCCATTTTTTCTTCAAATTACATATGAGCTTTATTTGACGAATAAAAAGAGTTCAAAGTGAAGGCACAAGTTTCTTCTGTTTCTCTGTCACTGTTCTTCGTACAACATAGGAATTCTTTGTACTTGTTCTTTTCGCAGACGGTTCA